AATTTTGTTTTTTAAATTTTTAAAATTTTCAAGAATAAATTGCCCTATTTGACTATGACGTCACATCAAAACAACCTATTTTTAAATGCAAAGGATCATGGTCGTTGGAGGGGGGTGAGGGGGTGGGGGTGGTGGCGGTGGCCAGAAAAATAAGATCTCAATAAGCCTGAAGCGAGATGACGTTTTACCCCCGTCTCTAGACCATAATCCTTTTCACACTGCTTTTGTTCTTTAATTATGACTATTGTTCCTGTATTCTCTAAGGAATCAAAAATTTTAATATGAAAGAATTTTAAAAACTATTATGGTATAGAGTCGGGGGTAAAACATCATCTCGCTTCAGGCTTATTAACAATAATGTTAGTGACCCACCCTTTAGTCCATGCATGATTAAAAGTGGCCCACCCTTAAATGGTTGCACAAAATTGATGACCCACCCTAAAAAAAACGTTTAGCTGGAACCTTGAATTAAGCAGACATGGAAGTAGTTTTGTCACTCCTTCGATCCACCGGATACCAATAAAAGAGTGCACACACTGAAGCTAACACACTAAATACATTTGACGCMTTTGAGTCTACAAAGTTTGTTGACAGTATAATTTAGTCATTGGTATAGTACAAGCTATAGTCTTTTAAAAGAGGTTTAATACTGCCAACTTATCAAAACAACTGTTTAAAAAGTACCTTATCAATCAGTTGGCATCATGTCGCCTAGTCAAAGGTTGTAACTCTTCCTCCAACTCTCTTATTTAGAGGTGGTACTGGATTAACATTCCTTTCAACGGTTTTGTTGTCATCAAACTTTTTGCTTTTTATTGATTCAAGACTATTTCATATCAGCATAGCATGGCTCATCTCATGACTGACCCCTTTGTCCATGCTTAAAAACGATGACCCACCACCTTTTCTACCGGCCCATCCCCACCTGGGGGGGGAGGGGGAGAGGGGTAGGTGAAAATCTAAAATGCCAGAATAATTCTTAATACCCCCCTAAGTCATGCAAAAAAATAAGATCCCCCCTACGCAAGGCTTGTAGCTTCTTCCAAAAATTGTGCATACCCCCTTTTTCTGATAAAAATTGGCCCAGCTCCCCCTATTTCCTACCAAACTTTTCCCGATCCCCCCTCAATTTCACCTGCCCCCCCTCTGCAAGACATTATGAATGCAGCCTTATCATGCACAGCTTGCTCCCCACTAGTTGCTGCAATGCAGACTACTTAGCAATAATATCTGTTCTCAAGCCTAAATGCTATTGACTCGTTTGATCTGCCATGAGGGCAAGAGGACTAATTGTTTTACTCACATCCAACTGTAGATGCAAACAGGTTTTGAATTAAAGTTTTGACTAAATGTGTGTATGAGTATATATGAAATATATATGTGGACTGCGGTTGTAATGTATCAAATTGAGTTGATCCTCGCAGTATACCAAGCAACTTATGCGTGCAAAAGAAAGACTCGAAAAAAAAAAATTTTTTTTTAACTAAAGCCAAAACTCTTTGCTACTAGTAGTACTACTGACTTATAGCCTAGCAGTAGCTCATCCAATCAGAACGCAGCATGTCGATGATAGACCACTAGAGAAAAATAAATGGTTGGGGTTCCTTTGGTCTTTATTGACAGTCGACTGCCAGCGGTTATCCACCTCAAAACAACATGGCGGACATGGTGAGTCATTTTGACTTTCACTTTTATTTTTGATATTTTGCTGTTTTTAAGCTAATAAGATAGAATATAAGCTGATAAATCTGTAAAAATATAAATGATAAGGCTATATTCCAGTAACATGCTGCACAGAATGTGCATTTTTGTCATGGTTTTCAACATTATTATTTTGTGTTTTTTTTGTTCGTTGAAACTTGTAAAATAATTTTTCAAATAAATAATTTCAAACCTCGACTTCTCCACTCATTAAGTGCACCAAAAATATTCCTCATGTGAATTTTATATTCTTGCTAATTTGTGTGGGTATGATTTAGTTTGAAATTAATTTTAATTACAACTGCGTTAATTTTTTATTTTTTACAAATGATCATTCGTAAGTTTAATGTTGTTTGTATTTTATGGTTGTCTTCGGTTATCGTAGGTTTTGAGGTGTCAATATAAGGGTGGCAAGAGGAGTGTTGTACAGGGCCTGAAGGCTGATTCAACACTTGAAATGTTACAAGAAAAGATTTGGTTACTGACTGATGTACCCCCACATGCACAGAAGAGTAAGTTAATGTCATCATCTTCATCATTATCACTATCATCATCATTATGACCACTACTATTCTTGGTTTCCAATCAATCCCAAGAGRGCACAATAACAAAAGGGATGTCTGCCATGTTGGAAGATATAACAAAAGAATTCATTGMAAAATCTTTTATCAAATTCTTCCAACATGGCGGCTATGACGTCTATTGCAAACGAAGAATTGGTATCACCATTCTCRCCACCACCACCACCACCACCATCATCATCACTTTTTTTTATGTGCATGATATTTAACTATCATTAATTATTATATTTCTCTTTTCTTATACTCTTCTATACTTGGTCTGTATTTTTTGAAAAGTTTATACTCTTTCAACAACCCCACACACTTTATTATATTATACTTTCCAAACTATTATTATATTCTTTTATTTACTTCTATTATGATTATGTAATTTGTTCAAATATTACCTCTCCAATTGTAAAATGTGAGTGAATTTATTATTAAACCTATTAAGTGTGACCAGTGTAAAAAATATTATTCACATACTTTGCATATGTGCATGGGCTTTTGTACATTAAACTGACACATTTCAATGCAAAGCTGGCTGGTTTTACCAAGTAAGGTGTGTAGAGGGTTGTTTGAAAATACCCTGCGAGCAGAGTCTCCTTTTACCTCTACAGGTGAGAGAAGGAAATAACATTCTACACGATTTCTGCAGAGTCTCCTTTCCTTCTCTCATCCGTAGAGGTTTAAGGAGACTCTGCTCGCAGGGTAGAAAGCAAAAAAGCCTGTGCATAAAAGTATGCAAAAAYATTAAATGTGGTCATACTTTTGTGCATCTCCCTGTAAAAGCATTTTGATTGATTTGTAAATATATAATTTCATATTTTYTTATCAGTATTGACAGGATTTCCTCCCAAGGAACTGTGTTGCACTATCAAAGCATCAAGTCTCTCATCTCTCGGCKTAAGGTCTGGTGACACTTTGATAATTGAGAAAGACAAGACAGCTCCTATAATCATCAACAATGATCTTGTAGGAAGATTAGGATACCAAAATATCCCACTCAGTAGAAAGTAAGTACTTGAAAGTATAATACAAGACTTTTTTCTGTCTTCTTTATTAGGCCTCTTGCTCAGCCTTACAGAGGTGGGGGAAAGGG